AGAATAACATGAATGCAATAGAAATCTGACAATAGCACATAAAATAATGTCAATGTGCAATCTGAAGAAAACCAGCAATTGAAAGGAATGATTCCAGGCTAGAAGGAGATGCCTTAAGAGTCCCACAATCATGTGAAAATGATGACTTGTTTATGGGTTATCACCTACTACAGGTAAAGATCATCAAGCATTTTGGACAGTATCTGGCAGCCCACGCTCAAGCTAGCTCAGTTTGAAAGACAGGACTCATGACTACAAACTTACCTTCATTACCAAGTCGTACTTACTCTTTGGAGAAGGGAACTAGGGGGTAGAGGGCAATAATCCAACTGATGTATATTTTCATGAGATCTGCTGCTCTCTCAGGACAAGACACCCAGCACTTGAATAAAGCTATTTCATAGTTAGCATGTAATACCAAAAGCACCAGTTTAGCTGAAAAAAAAAACCCCAAAAAGCAGGTATAGAAGAGGCAAACTAATTACACCATGATAAAAAATATGCAAGTGCAGTAAAAACAATGCAAAATGAATAGCTCAGAATTCTAGATATGGAAACTGATGATTTGGAACTAAAGTTGTTTTACATCACTCTGTTTCTGACAGCATTTAGATGTTTTAAGGTATTAGCACAGTTATGTCTACTAGAGGCTGAGTACCACTATGATGGCAGATGTTGGATTCATCACATATTTGTGATAACCATATTTGATGGTTAACTATAAACAGAGTTATTTTTGCTAAAACAAGTATCTATGCTATAATTACCCATCTCTCAAGTATGACATTTCCAAAAAGTAGGAATATCTTGAATTAAATTTCTTTGCCATAGCAGGTAAATATGGATGCAGAAGGTTAATTGCACAAGTTATTATTATTATTATTATTATTGACCAACCTGATCTCCTTTTATGACCTGGTGACCCACCTGGTAGATGATGGAAAGGCTGTGGATGTCATCTACCTGGACTTTAGCAAAGCTTTTGACACCGTCTCCCATAATATTCTCCTTGGGAAGCTGGCAGCTCATGGCTTGGATGGGCGTAGTCTTTGCTGGGTAAAAAACTGGTTGGGTGGCCGAGCCCAGAGAGTTGTGGTAAATGGAGTTAAGTCCAGTTGGCAGCCGGTCACGAGTGGTGTTCCCCAGGGCTCTGTTTTGGGGCCAGCCTTGTTTAATATCTTTATCAATGATCTGGATGAGGGGGTTGAGTGCACCCTCAGTAAGTTTGCAGACGACACCAAAGTGGGTGGGAGTGTCGATCTGCTGGAGGGTAGGATGGCCCTGCAGAGGGACCTGGACAGGCTGGATTGATGGGCCGAGGCCAACTGTATGAGGTTTAACAAGGCCAAGTGCCGGGTCCTGCACTTGGGTCACAACAACCCCATGCAATGCTACAGGCTTGGGGAAGAGTGGCTAGAAAGCTGCCTGGCGGAAAAGGACCTGGGGGTGTTGGTCGACAGCCAGCTGAACATGAGCCAGCAGTGTGCCCAGGTGGCCAAGAAGGCCAACAGCATCCTGGCTTGCATCAGGAATAGTGTGGCCAGCAGGAGCAGGGAGGTGATTTCCTGTACTTGGCACTGGTGAGGCCGCATGTGGAATACTGTGTCCAGTTTTGGGCCCCTCAATACAAGAAAGACATTGAGGTGCTGGAGCGTGTTCAGAAAAGGGCAACAAGGCTGGTGAAGGGTCTAGAGCACAGGCCTTATGAAGAGCGGCTGAGGGAACTGGGGATGTTTAGTCTGGAGAAGTGGAGGCTGAGAGGAGACGTTATTGCTCTCTACAACTACCTGAAAGGAGGTTGTAGTGAGGTGGGTGTTGGTCTCTTCTCCCATGTAGTTAGCGACAGGACGAGAGAAAATGGGCTCAAGCTGCGCCAGGGGAGGTTTAGTTTGGAAATTAGGAGAAATTTCTTCACGGAAAGGGTAGTCAAGCATTGGAACAGGCTGCCCAGAGAGGTGGTGGAGTCCCCATCCCTGGAAGTGTTCAAAAAACGGGTAGATGTTGCACTTTGGGACATGGTTTAGTCTAGTCTACCCTTGATTGGTTTAGTGTGGACTTGGTAGTGTAGGTTAATGGTTGGACTGGATGATCTGAAAGGGCTTTTCCAACCTAAACGATTCTATGATTCTATGATTCTATGATTATTGGGAGCATTATCTTATGAATATTATTATTATTGTCTTGTAGCTAATGTCTGTACCTAAAAAGCTTGGGCAAGTCTGCCTAGAACCTAGGTGTGTACTGTAACAATTAGGACATATTGCACCTTCCTTCATTTTAAATGAGTGCTACTCTTCTAACTGCAGCAGAACAGAACTTATTAATCCAAAAAAGGATCGATTCAAATCAATGGCAGCTTATCCATTGATTACAATGGATTTCAGTTCAAATCCTGCCTGGATTTAGAAGCACAGACCCCAGCAGTCACCTAACAGGATAAGAAGGGTTCTCATGATCTAATGCCAAGACAGAAGATGGGAACACAGTAGTAAACATCGTGAATGGCTTTGAAATTTTTTATCTATGAATGTCAAAAGGAACATAGACAAGAAAAATAATAATCTCACATTAGTGTCACTTTAGAATAGGATCTACTAATTTATGCTTGCTTACCTACAAAATAATTCGTTCTCTGTGATAAACTGATTTTATATCTTCTAAGCCCCACAGCAACACCTAAAGTCTCAACAATAGCACAAAATCTACAAATGCTGATAAGACAAAGCGATTTTCTTTTCCACAGTCCTGCTATACAATGCCTACTACTGCCTATGTAATTTTCCATACAGCAAATAGTCTCTGAATCTATCCCAATCCATCTTTATATGAGGTAGAAATGTAGAGAAAGAGTAGATGAAGAGCCATCTTTTACTTATTGCAATTCCTTTAGAAGGTATAGATGACACAAGGAGGGAAGCAATACTGGAAAGTTCAGAAAATATTTTCACTACACACATAGGCTGGTATAGGTGTGGTTTGCCTTTCTAACTGTATTTCAAACTCAAACAGACAGGGACCAGGGCAGTTACCAGGCATGAAGACTGGAGACCTACAATGGAAACAAAGAGGACCTTTAGGAAATCACTGATATACTCCAATAATCTTGTCAAAGATGATCAGATAACTGGACACGTGTACTGTGAAAGAGAGTAGAAGTATATGGGCCATAATCATTCTTTGGCAACAAGTTTGCTTCTTCCAGAATTAGTACTAATCCCTGTGACTGATGACAAACTGCTGAAACTGATCCAGACATTCTCCCATAAATTTGGAAAACTCTCATTAGTAAAACATTCAAGCTGGTTTTCATATTCATCCCAGTTTTCTATCTGCTTCAGGTGTTTGCATATAATATGAAAATTAAAAAAAAAAACACAAGGAAACAAAGAAAAGAATATTTTAATTTTGTTAGTTTCCTTTTGACTTGCCCTGGTTATTCCTGAGCTTCTAAATCATTGCTATTCTAATTCTGATTTCAGAAAAGCAATGCTGTGGGAAACACAGTGTAGAATGTCAATGCTACCAATGACTGCAGCAGGGCAGGTCTTCAGTTTCCTGAATAAGCACGTATACACTGAATATTTTCATGGAAATTTCTTGATTTAAATTGCTGATCCATTAACTCCTACATTAACTCACAAACAGCGTTGTGTTTCAATCATGAATAAAAGGATTTTTTCATGTACTTTGGGAACCCTGCGGACCTGAAGCAAAATATTAATATAAAAACCATTTCCTTGTGTTGTTTTGGAAAACATTAGGATGTCAGATTAAAGAACATGTAGTTAGTTATTCAGTATGCTATATCGGCAACACAATATGGACATACATATAGCCGGTATCTCCCCGGTTTTATGGAAGTACAAAAATTTCTTTAAATGTGATTCTGGTATCTTATTAGCATTCCCTCTAATAGTGGAAAAAATTTTTAGTAGTGTTCCTATTTAATTAATATGATTAATGATTTTGTCATTGTTTCGTCATTGTTAAATAAAACAAAATAGTGTGATCAGGGAAGCTGGTAGAAAATATGTTAATTTAGGGTGTAGCCCAGAAATCAAAGCAGTAGTCATGCTAAGAAAAATGTGAAGAACACATGAAGTATGTGATATGGAGCATATAAAATACAAAATTTCTGTTTCTCTTGTTCCTTGCATCTATAACAGACATCAAAAGACAGAAAACAAGACTTGTTTTTCTTTTACTGTCTGTTTTGATGCCTTCTTGTTGCTCTATTTTCCTAAGCTTTTAAATTGTAATTACTTAGAGTAAACTTTTTAATGATTTTTTGCATGTTATTCTAAACTTACCAGCATACATGGATTGCCAATGCAATTATAGGGCAGCAAGAAGAATGCTATCCTACCTGAGAACTCAGGAACTGAGAAAGAAAATGAGATGTTTTCATGCTTTATGCATCTATTTCTCTGGGTGCTTTTATTGCTTCTACATTGCCTGAGGAAATGCTCATATGGCTCCTCTCTCAATCTCTGTATAAACCAGTTGCAGTCTGGGGCTCTTTGGCAGACAATGTGAAGACAGTCTGTGTCTACTGAAATAAATGCATGTGGACTTATCAGGTTCCTGTAGCTTTTGGGCAGATGACTAATAATCTTGACAGCTTGGCTGTTAATTTTTAAATCAGAGATAAACCTTGTATTATGTAGTAGAGTAACAGAGGATCCAGCTATATTGCTGCTTTTCAATCAGGTTGTGCAGTAACAGGATTAACTAACTCTTTGAGAAATAGTTGCTCTACTGGTATACATATGGTTAACTGGGTGTCCCACAGCTTTAAAATAATATTCAATGAACCTTCTTTTTCTTCCAGCACTACTTTCATGGGGGCTGAACCACTCAAAGAACACAATGCCATCAGAACTCCAGGAAGACAAATATCTCTGCTTTTATCCTTCTCCCAACCCTAAGCTTTGGTTCATTCTAGATACATCCTAATCTCTGAAGGTTTCTTATGCACAGGTCTTTGCTTTCTTTTACAGATACATGGCCATTATTGATCCCTTGAAACCTAGGCTCTCTGCAGCTGCTACCAAGGTGGTCATTGGGAGCATATGGATTTTGGCTTTCCTGTTGGCCTTTCCCCAGTGCCTATACTCCATAACCAAGGTGATGCCTGGGAGAACTCTTTGCTATGTAGCATGGCCAGGTGGTCCAAAACAGCATTTTACGTAAGATTTTGTTCTTTTAAACTTGTGCATGGTGGTGTCTACACTTGCAATGGACGTGGCAAAAGCTGTAGAGTATCATGCAGATACTCTGCATGCAGAATAACTAACAGCATTGATCACTGAGAAATGTAAAACAAGTTTTCTAAGCTAGGAAGATAGAGCATTTTAAGTGATAAGTGGAACACATTTATTCTCTTCCATGAGCATTCTCCATCTCATGCTGCATGTTTACCATGATTGCTTCACTTAAGATGGTTACTTCTACACAGACAGAGATGGTCAGAAATGGGGACAGAATATGCAATTCATAGCAAGCTTCCTTGTCAGCCTAACCAGGAAAACAAGTATTTACAGACTCTCCTTGTCCTAATCAGATTTTTTTTTTCTGGATCTCTTCATGAGAGCATTGGATTTTCCCACTTACTCTGTTACACTATCACAATTACTTATCTCAGATATCAGTCCAAATAAGAAAACTGTAAATGCTGTAACTGGTTCCAGTTTCTGAAAGTGTAGAATAACAGTCAATTAAATTGAATATATCCTATTTGTCCCTCTGGCAGGATTAGGAATAAGTGGTTACCTAGCCATAGAAATGTTATCTGCCTTTTCATGTCTTCATTGGTATTTAAGATGAACTCTGTGTTCAAGGCTGAAAGCCTGTGTAACCTTCCAGCATCAAATTTGACCTTTTGCTCTCTTTCAGGCAGGTGAAAGAGGCCCTGAACATATACAATTGTTATCACTTTAGGAGCCATACAGAGATATTTCTCTTTAGGGCAGTAAGGCCATTCTCAGTGACAGCTGGGGATCCTTCGCTGATCATTCACTGGGATTTTATCTGAAGATGGCATTTAACCGGGAACTAACAGGAGGCAAAAGAAGCTATATTTTTTTTTCCCCGGTGCTTACATCAGCAGCGATGACTATGTTGCACATAGGCAACAGATCTGTGTTGCCTATGTGCAACAGATCTGCCATATGAAGTATGTTGGGTAACACAGGACACCTATCAGGGCCTTTGTATAAATATACTATTTCAATACTTATTTTCCTCTTTCATTTATGGTCCAGACTAGAGCTCAAAATGCCTACCTTGCCTTTAGGATACTTGGCTGTGCAATAATTAAATCAATTCAGATAGCTATGGAAAAACATACCTTATTCTGCAGTCACTAATCAGGATAACTATAGAGTCATTCTTAATTTATGCTAGTGCAAGTTCAGAATCAGAACTAGAAACCCCATAAAGCACTTGCATTAAAATGTAAATAAATTTGCAGTGCAATTCAAGACTTTCAAAAAGACAGTGAAAACACCAAGGACTAGCCAGTCAATATAAAATATGCTTTGTGCTACAGTAGCACTCTTGATTTCTAGGAGCCCATTCCATTGGTATAGCTCCTCTGAAAGCACTTATCAGCTTAATGCTTTTTCATTGCAGGTACCATGTCATTGTGATTGTGCTGGTCTACTGCTTTCCACTGCTTGTCATGGGCATCACTTATTCCATAGTGGGAATTACCCTCTGGGGAGGAGAAATACCAGGCGACACATCCAACAAATATCACGAGCAGCTCAAAGCTAAGAGAAAGGTACTGTTCCATTAAATCTCAGTAAGTGAATCCTGATAACATCATCTGCAATTGTGTTGCAAAGTATCATAGTATATTCCTTCAGAAACACCAAGTCACTTGAAATAATAGTAATGAGAGACTTACTTCAATAAAAAAATTGATTCAGTTTGACAAGTTGTCTTCTATGTTCACTAGCTGTTCTTTTTGTATCTTTACTGTTCCTCATAAAATAAAGGTAACATTTGGATTTTAACTTCTTACTCCACATGTAGCAGCATATACTGTGGCTGACATGTGGAAACTAAGCTCAAATGTTGAGCCTTTACAGAGCTAAAAAGTTGAGTTTTGAACAATGGGTTAGCTAGTGAGAAATAAAAACTATTTTTCCCAGTTATTGTCTTTCAATCTTTTTCACTGTAATTATTGCCTAATCTAACAAGACTGTGGATTGCTTATGAACTGATTATTTGACTCTTTCCAGTTCAGTTTTCATGATGCAGTGCCATGAAGGTTTCTTTCTTATAACATTCTTTTTCTTAACCTAACTTTTCTTCTTCAATAAGGCAGCCCTTCTGCTTTTTATTTCTGACATTTTTTTTTCATTCTAAAATGCATTTAACCTTTCGGATTTGAAAAAAATGGTACCCAAACATGGACTTCTAACTCACAATGATGAGCACATTTTCAATTGCTCTGTTTGCTTCCTGATACTGAGAATATGTTTGAACAGTGGTATATGCTACCATGCTGTAGCAATAGCGGAGTGCAGCGTATTGGGTCCTGAGACAATAGGGGATCTTCTGCAAATACTGGAGCATACTGACATTTGCATTTCTTTCAGGACGCTGCCAGGAATATGGAAGTATTTTTTCCCCACATACTACACAGAAAAAGTTGTTATGGCAGAGGATATGTGAAAGAAAAGATTAAGATCATTTTCTGATTCATACATCTTCAGACTCATAAGACACAAGTGCAAAACTTTCTGTGGCAAGTTTCAGTTGTCAGAATGGTAGACATGCCTAGACAGCTTTATGGTATGATGTGCAGTGCCTCCTACGAAACTAAAGGTGTTATTTATTTTCACTTTTACATAGCTTTTTTAAAAGAGCAAAATGCTAGCCTCTCTTAAGGAAGCAAAATGCAGTTTGTCTAGTATTATCACTACTATTGCCTTGTAACATTTCAAAGATTATATGGAATGTGAACGAAGAGAATGATGAAAAATCATCATGGAAAACTAAACAGTATGCTTTGCATATTTGCCCCAAAGTGAAATTATTCTACTAATTTCCAGAAATGCTGAAAGCATTTCAAAAGATCATCATTTCACTCTTTAACATTATCGATAAAAGTCCAACATTACCATTACAGTCTTTGCCGTGCATGTTGTCGCTTACCCAAAAGTGTATTTTCAAAGTTATGAAATTACCTTTCCTACAGAGCATAAGCAGAAAAAGATTTCACTGGTCAATGAACTGTGCTATTACCAATACTGCCCTTTCAGCCAGTGGAAAGAAAGGAAGCAAATACTCAGTGGAAGGTGCCTGGGGTCTGATTGTAAAGACAATCCAAGGAATCACTTTCTGTACCAGACACACTTTGCAAAAGCAAGTGTGGAAAGAAAATTATTAAAAGCTAACTTGGAGAACCAGGAGATCCCAGAACTTCAGCACCTGTTATCATAATGACTAAGTAAAATAAACACCTTATGTCATAAAAACTAAAGGTCTCTGAAGAGAAAAGCTAGCTTTTACTATATGCTATTAAGCATCCAATTAAATCCCTTGAATACTTCAAAAACAGCACCTCTTTAATACTCTAAATATATGCAAGAGACAAGGATTAGCTTCCTTAATTAAAAGATTTTAAATATGAGAGTACTGGAATGCATGCCTTCAACACATGCAACAAGGGGATTAAATTATGTGCAGATATATTGTAACTGCATCAGTGACTTTATTGGCAGAGCTCCATGACAGCTCTTCAGTTCCACTGCTGTGCTCTCTGGCAGGATTTATGAAATAACTGGTATTTGGAAAGATGAATCATAATTGGTCATTCATGGAGATGAACCAATAGACTGGAATCCAAATAAAGCTATCACTCAACCTGCCTCTGATAACAGAGCTATTGCTTTTCCTTCATTCAAACAAAGCAATAATCTGTTTTTCTTGCTATTTAGCATACAGATATCTAGACATACAGAAAGTCTATACTGGCTGCACTTACAATGAAGGAGAAATATAAAATAGCTGACTGCATGTTTCATATTATGCAATGATAGAGTGCAAAGTATGTTTGATTAGGATTGTTTGAAATGGTATTTAATGTTAAGAAGGTAGTAAACAGTTCACATAAGACCTTTGAAAGAAAGGTTTGCCAAGAAAAGATTTGAAGCTTGAGAATGTTGTTAATAGTTCGATAGATAGTCTTATCACTTCATATGTGTGACCGTGCAATGCACCCTGAATCCTTCTGAAAGCAACATCAAAGAACAAAGGATTCAAAGAATTTCACAGTATGTACTATAGGCTGGGCAACTCAAAGTCATACTTAGTATCTGCAAGGGTCAAAGACTTGAAATTTTTAGAAATTCAGGACTGCATGAGACTACTACCACTACTTTCTTTTTCCCCCCTGACAGATCAGATGTCTCGGGGACTGACCCATTTAAATTTACCTGACATCAGTCTTTTAAACTTCTGAATATTCACTACATGTGGGCACTTTGCAGCCATTACCCCTTCTTCTTAAAGATCCTGGCATGAGACTGACTGATGTTCAGCTGAACATCATTTATTCTCCTGCAATTTCCATTTTCACAAAACCAAATTACAGTTTCAATAGTCATATGTAACAGAAGTTTATCTAGGTGGCTCATAATGTTACTATCAGTTTTACTAGGCCAAAGGGTTCTTTATATTCAATGCAAATACTTAGACGCTTGCTCTCAGATGTCTCCACACTGTTTTTTCTGTCTAACCTCCTGTTCCAATCCCTCTTCCAACTTTACTTAACCTGTAAGATGGGATAATCGTGTCCTGTAAATAAATCAATCAGTTACTGTTGTCTTTGTCAAGAGATGCAGTTCTGATACAACTGTCTTGTGAAAAAATAGTGTTTCTCTCAACAGAAGATGCCATTGCCTTGTCCCAATAGGAAGAATACAGAAGAACAAAAAATATTCTTCTTAACTTTTATATCTTTTCTTTACAGTTCCCCTTACCTCTATTAACTTTATGATAATATATCGCTGTGCATCTTTTTCAGCAATTTTCATGATTCTTCCATACTTATGCCTCTGCCTGTATTCTTTGCTTCTCCTAACACAGCTTGAGGTGTCGTCTCAACTTCTTACTGCAATGAAGATTGATTAAAAGCCACATTTTTCCAATACCAAAATTTTTTTGCAAATTTGCATGTAAAACCAGAAAAAAACCCCATATGTTTGCTAGTGACACACAGTATTACAGGAATCACTAAAGAGATGGCCAGAAGTTTTGTATATATATTTTGACAGCAAAAGTAGACATCCCATATCCCTTTACAGTCAAATGCATCTATTTCATTAGTTAATACCGTATATGCAACACAGTGGAGTAGAAAATGAAAAAGTAGAAAACTTAAGACTTCCATCTGAAAAGAAAATAATATTCAAAACAATGTGGGACTGTAGGAACAATGATGTAATGAGAACCACTTTTGAATATGAATTTGAAATATTACGTAGCGTGAGAAGCCAACTCAAGTAAGACAGAAGGACATGCTTTTCCAAGTCAGGGTCAGAACGGTTACATGTAAATTCAAAAATCACTCAAAATTACTGTGAAGTGAAAAGCTTTTACTACATAAACAGAAATATCCAGGTGAAATCTTAAAGGACTACAAGTAAATATTACAAAAAGGCATCCCAACAATTTTAAATCATTTTCTGAAATACTTACATTAAATATTTCCCCTCTTTCATAGACTATGGAAGTAAGCAACAGGACAGAATCTGAACAAATGGTCTCTGTAAGAACTACTGCATGAACACATGTAGCCACTCACATGTATTTCTCCATTTTATTCTCTTTTTTTTTTTTTCCTTTCATGGAGTTAGAGAAAGTCCAAAGAAGGGCAACTAAAATGATCAAAGGTCTTATGAAGAGATTAAAATGGCCTGGACTTCTCAGTTTGAAGAGAAGGAGGCCGAGGTACGAGATGATCAAGGTTTATAGAATCACAAACGTGGTAGATAAAGTGACGGAAGAACTGTTGGTCCCAAGTCCTGAAATACAAGAACTAATAGGAGAGCAGTTTAAAGCAGGTAGAAGAGAGAGTACTTTAAGAAAGGGTAATTTAAGAGTTGGGAAAGAGCTTCTGAGACTCTCCTGCCAGATGCTATGATCTCAGAAGTTTCAGAAAGGCATTAGACAAATTAACAGGCAATAAATTCATAAATAGATACTGAAAGAATGAAACAGGGATGCACCGCTCTCTAATAAAATTTTGGATGCTGGGGCAGTATTAGGAAAATAGAAGATGGAAAATGGCTAGGTTCATGGGATCTCCCTAAACAGCACCTCCTACTGCCACTGTCAGAGACAGAATAGTAGGATGGATGGACAACTGTCTGAGCCAGGAGGAATTGTCCTATGTCCTTATGTTCCTTTTTTACATAGCAGCACAGCTACAAAAATACAGTTCAGCATGTTATTCCTGAGTTCTTACTGACTTTCAGTGCAACTAAAAAGGCAGATCTTCCTTTTTTTTTTTTTACTACATATGAATACATGACATGAAGTCATCATACATTTTATACTACATTGCACAAAATAAGAAAAGCACTAGTTAGAAATAATGACACTTTTGCTGGCATTAAATGGTAGGTGACCAGGTCAGGATGAAAGAAAGAAGCTGAATTGTTTCACTACGGATTAGTTTATTAAGGGGCAGATTTTGTTAAGTTAAAAAAAAAAAAAAAGGCGGCAAGAGAGTCAAAGCCCAAAACTTTACAGTGTAGCATCAAATTC